AAAAAAGACAGTGTTTCCTGCCTGTTTGCTCAGATCTGCCTGACAAGTAGCAAAGCACTTCATTCAGAGGGCCAGCTCATAGCAAGTCCAATGCACGGGAACAAGAAGAGTTCCATCTACGTTTAGAGTAGAAATCTGGGTTTCCTTTTTCAAACATTGATCCTCGGTGCTACTACAAGTCACAGGGCAAGATCCGGTGCTATGCCTCTAAGCAACCTAAAGGGAGTGGGTGCTACGCTGGGTGTAAGACACCTTTACACCTTCCTAATCCGGGGCTGCTCCAGCAACTATAGGGGACTATGGCATCATTTTGGCAGCCCCGGGGGCTTATGCTATGGCACTCTCCCTTGGGCTGCCTTGGGGCCCCCAGAACTGCCTGCAATTGCTGCCATCCTGCCCCAACATGCCCTTCACAACGCTGACTTGCCATATATGCCAGGACCTGAGAGGGTCCTTGGAAAGCAGCCTTACAGATGTCTTCCACAGCACCTTCACTGTGGGAATCCTTTCCCTGGCTGGACATGGGATGTGTAGGGTCAAATGTTGCTCTAGTCCTTTCACACAATGAAAGAGGACAAGAACAGGGGAGAGGATCAGATCAATATCTCCTACAAAGTGATGGCTCTGAGGTACAACAGCTGAGCCTATCTAAGGATTTTACACTACCACCCATCATTGCAGTAACTGAGCGTCTTCCACATAAACTGGATAGCAGTAGCACTTAAATATGCATTTCAGCATATGCTTAAAGGACCTGATCCAACATCTAGGAAAATAAATGCAACAGCTTCCATTGACTCCAATGGGTACTGGGTCAGCTTTATGTGCATCACAGAATCATAAAAGATCAGGGTTGGAAGAGACCTCAGGAGGTCATCTGGTCCAACCACCTGCTCAAAGCAGGACCAACACCAACTAAATCATCCCAGACAGGTCTTTGTCAAGCCGGGCCTTAAAAACCTCTAAGGATGGAGATTCCACCACCTCCCTAGGTAACCCATTCCAGTGCTTCACCACCCTCCTAGTGAAATAGTGTTTCTTAATATCCAACCTAGACCTCCCCCACTGCAACTTGAGACCATTGCTTCTTGTTCTGTCATCTGCCACCACTGAGAACAGCTGAGCTCCATCCTCTTTGGAACCCCCTTCAGGTAGTTGAAGGCTGCTATCAAATCTCTCCTCACTCTTCTCTTCTGCAGTCTAAATAAGCCCAGTTCCCTCAGCCTCTCCTCGTAAGTCATGTGCCCCAGCCCCCTAATAATTTTCGTTGCCCTCCGCTGGAGTGGGAGAACCCAAAACTGGACGCAATACTCCAGATGTGGCCTCACCAGTGCCGAATAGAGGGGAATAATCACTTCCCTCGATCTGCTGGCAGTGCTCCTCCTAATGCAGTCCATTCGCCTTCTTGGCAACAAGGGCACACTGTTGACTCATATCCAGCTTCTCGTCCACTGTAATCCCCAGGTCATTTCCTGCAGAACTGCCGCTTAGCCAGTCGGTCCCCAGCCTGTAGCAATGCATGGGATTCTTCTCTCCTAAGTGCAGGACTCTGTTGAACCTCATCAGATTTCTTTTGGTCTAATCCTCCAATTTGTTTAGGTCACTCTGGACCCTATCCCTACCCTCCAGCATATCTACCTCTTCCTGCAGCTTAGTGTCATCCACAAACTTGCTGAGGGTACAATCCATCCCATCATCTAGATCATTAATGAAGGTGTTGAACAAAACTGGCCCCAGGACCGACCCCTGGGGCACTCAGTTTAATACTGGCTGCAAATTAGACATCGAGCCATTGATCACGACCCATTGAGCCCAACAATCTAGCCAGCTTTCTATCCACCATATAGTCCATTCATCCAACCTATACTTCTTTAACTTGCTGACAAGAATACTGTGGCAGACCGTATCAAAAGCTTTGCTAAAGTCAATATATATCACATCCACCACTTTCCCCATATCCACAGAGCCAGTTATCTCATCATAGAAGGCAATCAGGTTGGTCAGGCATGACTTCCCCTTGGTGAATCCATGTTGACTGTTCCTGATCACCTTCCTCTCCTCTAAGTGCTTCAAAATGGATTCCTTGAGGACCTACTTCATGATTTTTCCAGGGACTGAAGTGAGGCTGACCGGTTTGTAGTTCCCCGGATTCTCCTTCTTCCCTTTTTTAAAGATGGGCACTATACTTGTGTAACCTTTCTGCCCATCAGAGTTGGCAGCAACAAGGGCGGGGTTCAGTATCTAGGGGTTCCATTCCAATAACACAATGCAAAAACGGCTCGAGCTCCCACCCAGTGACCTGGGACAAATATATACCACCCCCGCTGGGCGCCTCCAAGAGGCAATACTTCCCCTCTCGCAAGCACAGAGTCTGAGTGTAGCAAAAGCCTTTTAATAACAGAGAGAAACAATGTGGCATTATCTTGGGGAAACACCACCAACAGGATTCATAACACAACCCATGAGCAAAACCCACCCCAAGCAAATTGGGCCGTGTCCTTTCCCTTTGGTTCTTGAGTCCAGCAACCCAAATGTCACCCAAAGTCCCAAAAGTCCAACAACCCAAAAGTCTGTGTCCCTGGTCAGTGCAGCCCTAGAGTTCGAAAGTTTATCTGCAGAGTTTTACCTCCCAATCTGTGTGGAAATGGGAGCGGGGGGAGGGGGTGGGGTTAAGGAGCATCTTACGTGGTCCGAAGCCGATTGCCCCACTTCTCCGTGGGGCTCCGCTCCGCTCTACCAGCCGTCCCACGAATCGCTCTGCCAGCCCCCCCCACCATGAGCTACTCCAGCTCACGTGGATTTATGTGGATAAATTGGAGAGAGTCCAGCGAAGGGCAGCAAACATGATTAGGGGTCTGGAACACAGGAGTTATGAGGAGAGGCTGAGGGAGCTGGGATTGTTTAGCCTGCAGAAGAGAAGAATGAGGGGGGATTTGATAGCTGCTTTCAGCTACCTGAAAGGGGGTTCCAAAGAGGATGGCTCTAGATTGTTCTCAATGGTAGCAGATGACAGAACGAGGAGTAATGGTCTCAAGTTGCAGGGGGGAGGTTTAGATTGGATATTAGGAAAAACTTTTTCACTAGGAGGGTGGTGAAACACTGGAATGCGTTACCTAGGGAGGTGGTAGAATCTCCTTCCTTAGAGGTTTTTAAGGTCAGGCTTGACAAAGCCCTGGCTGGGATGATTTAACTGGGAATTGGTCCTGCTTCGAGCAGGGGGTTGGACTAGATGACCTTCTGGGGTCCCTTCCAACCCTGATATTCTATGATTCTATGATTCTATGATTCCCGCAAACTACTCCATTCCACCAGCTGCTCCGCCAGCTGTCCCATGAGCTTCTCCAGCTGCCCCGCAAACTGCTCCACCATATATCTCCAGGCCCCCCACTACTTAACACAACACTCAGTGATTTCAGCTCTCAGTACTTTTAGCTCTTTCATGATTTCAGCTTGTAGTAGGGAAGCCTCAGTGCTGGTGCACCATTGGCCCAAAGTGAATTCAGCTGAGCAGCCTGAAACTAGACTCCTAATAGAATCAAAATTAGCTGATATTCCACAGTAGAGGGGGTGCAATTGGCACGCAGGGCCCTCACCAGGGACCCATACCACCAGGCATTAATACCTATCCCCAGCCTTTCTCAATTCACTGAGTTTTGGGACTCATGTCCCTTGCCTAGCAAGTGGTACTTAGTTGGTGGCGAGTCCCTCCATCATAACAAAAGGCCAAGTACAGTTCCACTGTCCTTGATTCACATAATCAGAATAATAACAATTTATTTTTCCTGCCCCAATAACAGAGAAACTGGGGATCCCACAGAAGCCAAAGTGACCATTTGGGCAGCTATGGCCTCATTCTAGGCGGGGTGGGTGTGCCTATGCAAATGAGATCAGCCCCTGAAGTTCTTTTCCACAACTTGCCACACCTCACCACCAGATGTCAGGGTGGAGCTCATCCTGACTCTGCTTACACTTGCTTTTTTCCAATTGTCCAGGACCTCCTCCACTCGCCATGAGTTTTCAAAGATAATGGCCAATGGCTCTGCAATCACATCATCCAACTCCCTCAGCACACTCGGATGCAGCGCATTCAGCTCCATGGGCTTGTGCATGTTCAGCTTTTCTAAATAGTCCTTAACCTGTTCTTTTACCGCTGAAATAGGTATGAACTGAAGCACATGCTTAAGTGTTTTTCTGAATTGCAGACCTGATTCAAAGCCTATTGAATGGGAATCTTTTCACTGTGATGAGTGGGCCCTCAACTCTGAATTTCTTGGCTTTTGTGGGATTAATTTTTTAATTTTACCTATATACAATTTAGTGACTTTCTTTCCTGTATGGTGTTGTTCTATTTAAGTCTTTAGAATCTGGGTCTTAAAACGCCCAAACAGTTATTTATCCAAAAGCTTTCTAAGGCTCTAGCTGACCAGAAGGTTAAAGTGTAGGTGGTCTTTTTCCATTCAGCCCTATAAAGAAATAAAAGGAGATTATTTTATATAAATGCCTTGGTGTCTTTTCAGTTTTTTAAAAGTGTACTGTCATTACACATTTTTGTAATTGTAAAGCATACATGCAGCTATTTGTGTTTAGGGTATATTTAAAAATCTGGATAATAATAGCAATCTTTCAAATATATATTTGAGAAATTTTTAAATATGTATATTATTGACCCAGTGGACCAAGCCGAAATACAGACATGAGAGCTTCTCATCATGTGAATTTGCCTGTTGTAGACTGGGTGGTGTAATAGAAACAGAGGCAGGAGCTGGCTTCCTCTACTTGCTTTGCCAGATTGTTAGCCTATATAGTTATTACTAGGCCTATTTGTGTACAGGCCAAGTATGTCTGGAAGAAGGATGCCAGATGTCCATTATTATTTGCAACATAAAGTGATTTTGTGATGCAGCCCCACTGGGAACTAAGAATGATGAACTCAGTTTACTTAGTATTCTCTAGAGGCATAACCATAGTATTATGTGGGTCATGTGTGTGTATGAGAATACTAAAGAAGCAGAACACAAAGAAGATCCTCTCAGAAGAAGATACAGCTCAGCATGTGCATGAGAAGCAACAGCTAGTTTGTTTCAAATTGGGGTATGTAGCTTTTTCCATAGACTACTACTCTCTCTTTTTGCAGGAGAGTGTGTGTGTATGTTCGTGTTAAGACATTTGGACACTCAATTCCAAGCTTGTTTGGGTGCCTTAACTGTGCATTTTCGTACCTTGGCATATTTTGATTTTTATTAAATTTAACCATAGCTCTGAAATTCCTGGGTTTGTAATGCTTATTTCAGGGTTAATGACAACATTCTTGTTCTATTTTATATTCTTAAATTACTAATATGTACCTCTCAACATTAATTCTAGTTTAACTTACTTTTTGGTATGAGAATACATAGGTGTATTCATGTGTGATTGATATATATAATTCCTTCATTTTCTGAAATATGCCTAAAGGAAGATTATGGGGATCAGGTTGCTCCATGGTATGGAGGTCAGGTTGTTCCAGAAATGTATTATTAAATTATAGCATTCAAATTCCTTGGAAGCAGTAATAAGTTGCATTCCCAATGTTCTGACTCACTACTTTACGCTGATGCATTTATGTCTCAATTGATTGTTTTGGACAGTGAATGCATGAGAAATCTAGCTAAAGGGCACACCATAAAGATTCCTGCTGAGAAATGTACCAAGCACTGAGGCATCTGTGCTATACCTTAACAACTCTTCATGGGCCACATTAAAGAAATACACCTTGAAAAAATTATTTTAATCCATTATGGGCTGATTGAAGCCCATCTGTTCACTTTCACTGCTACTTTTCTCTCTAACAGCCTGGATAGCTGATATTAAAGTGAGTGATGGCCAAGATCCCTCTGAATTTCTGAAAATGTTACGCTTAATTGTATATACATTATATACCTTAGACTGATGATCATTTATCGTTACTATTACGAAGCATCTAGAAGCCCAACCCACATCAGGGGCCCATTGTGTAAGGCCCTGTACAAATGGACAACTTCCAGTCCAAATGGAGGATGGGTGGGAAGGGAAACAGTGGCACAAAGAGGTGAAGTGACTTGCCCAAGGCAAAGCCTGAAATAGGACTCCCGAGCCAGTGCCCTGTTCACTAGGTCAAGAATGGTGCCTTCATAAAAAAGCTTAATCCAACCATATCTCCAAGATTTCAAACCTGCTACTTCCTTACATGAGCATAACCTTAAAAATCTCCATTGTGAACTGACAAAATTACCTTTCCAGCTCTTCATTCTGGCATGTACAGAACACAACCAGTCACCAGGGGTGAGATACTGAGGTGAGGGCAGACACTGGAGAGTTATAATCCAACTCCTGATATAGAGAAATGACATGGGACTGCAGCCCACATTTCCTGTGGTCACCACTCCTTCCATTGGGCTGGAATAGCCCCCACAGTCCTCAGGATCATTTGCACAAGGTGCTAGCATCCCTGGATCCACATAACAACAGATGCTGTGGTCCCTCATCTGACCCATTCCTGGCCTGTCCCCAATGATTACCTGAATCTCTGGAGCAGCTGCTTTGCAGCAACCCTCTGTATGCAGGAAACTTCCCACTTCTCCCTAGGTTCTGCTAGTCATAAGCAGCTTTTTGTTTTGCCAAGGTTCTCATAGGAGTTCTTCTGAGAGAGGCTACTGAGGGTGTGCTCTGAATCTGAGCATCCATTGGCCATCTTACTTGGGCCTGCCCCCAGGCCAGAAACACCCACTCTTGTGACTATGCTAGGTAACCCCCTACAGACCTTCCTAACGGGGAGAAGGTGGCAGGTTCTGGTGACTGACGTTCCACCTCCATGGTTTTATCACCCCGGGTGAATTTGCCTCCCCATTGCTCTCCATTCAAAGTCCACGATTCTAATCAACACAAACAAAGTCCTCGTGGTGCTCCTCATTCACACACATAGATCAAAGAATCTGAAAGCTGGCTATATAGTACCATCCATATTACAGGGTATTTCTAAAATCCTATCAGTGCTGAAAGCATCACATAGAACAACCATTCCTTGTATTACTGATTGAGGTACATTGGTCCCCCAGTACCCATACCCCTTGCACAATTCCCCACACACAGGAACCTTCATGGAACAAGAGAAATTCCCAGATCTCTAGGGCAAATTCTGTTTCCCTTTGACAGACAGAGGAGGGGATATACACTCTCAAACATCAGGGCATAAGCCAAATTCCAACTAATGGGGGTCCGGAAGAAAATTTCCCCGCGGGCACGCTATTTCATCACTGCTGGATTTCTTACAGCTGGTATTGGCCACTGTTGGAGACAGGACATTGCACTACATGGGACATTGGTCTGATCAGTATGGGAATAGCTGTGTTTCTACGTAGCTGCAATGGAATTGCACCAGGAAGAAATTTGGCAGCTTCACTAGAAAATTTTCCCCTTTTGCCCATCATGAGGCATTTCTTTGTTCCCATCTGCTTTTTTGCCCTCAGAAGCCACTGGCGTAGGCCACTGTCAGTTTCAGGATGAGATGAACCTCTCGTCTACTTCGCTGTGTATGGGAATTCCTCTGATGACTTTTGGTAAGTGAGAGAACATGCTATGTGGAGACATGTTTGTTTGCAGAAAGGCGGCTTCACTGCTGCTAAAACCAACAAGAAGTTGCTTCTTCAAGAAAGGATGAATCTAGTATGGAAAGGGGCCTAGCCTTGCCCAGAGGGAAGGTAATGGCATAGGTAAACATACATCTCTCATACCGGAACATATTTCCACAGTACTTATAGTATTCCTATATCTGACAGTCTCCAAATCTCTATAGGCATGTCTGATGAATTCCTACTCCTAAGTATACAAAGGTGTGGTGTGACTCTGAACTGTGCTTGAACCAGACCTAAGATGACAACTGATGCTTGGGGTGAATCATTTGGCATTTCAGGTCTTAAGAATGTTCCCTTTCCCTGTCATCTCAGCGAGTGGGGAGGTTGTTTGATCAAACTTGTAGGGGAAAGACAACTCCTGAACTCCTGAGGGGAGTGGGAAAGGGAGTGATATGCTTAGTTGCTGTGGGGCTTTCCCCATTCCCAGAATGCATGTGGAGAACATGTCTGATCTGGGGGTGGGGAAGGAGAGGAGAGAACTTCCTCCTTCTCCTTCCTGCTATCGGCTGGGCTGCGGGGGTGAGGGAAGAAAGGCAGAGTTAATTGTCTCTCACACCCACCTCCTGTGTGGAAAGTCCTCAGGGCATGTGATTGCTGCCCTGAGCGCCCTAACCTATAAGGTAGGTATAGTTTGAGCTGGATTTCCAAGATACTGTGGGGCTAACAGAGCTCTAATTTTGGGGATCAGAAAGGAATTTTTCCCTTGGCACACAACTGACAAGGTGGCGGTGGTTTTTTTCACCTTCTTAAAGGCGTCTGGGAGATATTAAGCAGCTTTAGGTTAATGAGCAGAAAGGAGAGGATTTTAAAGTTGTATGTTTATACATGAATTAGTCATTTTGTTGCCAATCCCAGTGCAGGTGAAAAGCGCAAAAGAGCTGTCTCCCAGAGGCAAACATGAGACCTGGGAGATATCTGTTGGACCCTGTTACTCTGGAGGAAGAAGAGGAGATCTTCAATCTTCACAGGCTGAGGTACATCTCATTTCCCCTCACCAGGGGAGTGCAAGAGGAATTGGACTTGGGCTGAATCCTAGGAGTTAGGATGAAGAAGGCTAACACTGAGTATTAGTTATTTAGTACAGAGGCCATTTAACAGAACACTGGACCCAAATAAACGCCTGGTATTTGCAGGTGGGGCACCTTAGCTCTCCTAAAAGAAAATTAAAAGTTATAAAATTGCTTTTTAAAAGCTATCCCTGTGTCTGTATTTCATTCTCATGATCAACCTCTCATACTATTTTACTGGGAGATGCAAAACTAGTCAGAATTCACTAATCTGTCATTTAAACCTCTCTCTTTTTTTAAAGGGTGATTTAACTACAAAAAATAGCACAGAAAAACTTGTGTTCTGTATTAGACAGAGAAAGATTCCCATCACCACTGATCTCACCTACAAACAAAGCCAATCTACCATTTCCCACATCTTTATGGAAACCAGAAAAAATATTTTACAAACTTTTTCACAAATTTCCCCCCCATTAATTTACCAGATTTACTGAAAAGCTAGGTAAAGTGCAGGTGGCTTCCCAATGTGTCGTATATTCACTGTAACTTGCTAGGCCAAATCCTCAGCTGGTGTAAATTAGCATAGTTCCATTGACCTCAGTGCAGCCACGTCAATTTACGCCAGCTGAGGAACTTGCCCATATTTCTTTTTTATTTGCATGCTTCTCTCTTCCATCTCTGCTTCTTTCCCCCCACCAGTCTCCCTCTGGTTAGTTCTCAAGCTGCCCCTTTTCTTTGTCATTGGATTTTTTTCTCCCTGAGTGCTTTTTTCCTACCTTTCCAATGTCCTCCCACAACCTTTCCTAGTAGAATGCAACCAAAATACAATTTACATTCGGGTCAGATGCAGTGGGAACATACGAAAATTACAAGTGAAAAAGTCTACAGAGTTCAAACAAAGCCTGTTCCATATTTAATGCAAGGATTTATATTATGTAGTTTATCTTGGAAGTAAGAGAAAACTTACTATGTTCACATGTTTCATCTTAGCTGAGTTGATAAAGAACAGGATTTTTCTTATATTTTACCGAGAGCCTCATTAAAAAGGTTTATTTTTCTGTTGTGGCTGTAAAATAATACCATGAGAATAAAGTTCATGACTGATCATTCATTCACCCAGTGAAATACCAAGCCCCATTTTAAGTATCTCAAACTGAGCACTTAATAACTGAGGCAACCCAAAATCATTAGTCACTTTTGAAAATGTGGGTCCATGTTCTTGACATTGTCAGGGAAATAACCCAGATTCCACAGGAAGTCTGATCTTACATAAATAACTAGAACAGGCTTTTTGTTTCCCCCTGATTTGGTGTAAAACTTGCATTGTCTCCAGGAGGAGCTGGCTTTTGTCCTTAGTTTTGTCCTTAATTTAAAGCTGCATGGAATTGACATCAAAATGTGTGTAGGGAGCAGAGTAGTAATATTCTGAATGTGACTGCAAGCAACCTCAAAGAACACATATTTGGAATGATCATAAAACACATAAAAATAAGTGTTGTGTGACAATGGTGAAGAACCACAGAAATCACACTTCCTTCTAGCCATGAACAAGGAAAAATAGTAATATCCCTAAAGCTATTCTTCCTCTGTCTTTGCTTCACCTTCTTCCTACAACATTCCTCAGCCTCTCTCTCTCTCTTTCCTACTACAAGCTTAAAGGACTCGTACTCATATCCTCAGACTCATATACTATTATCTTCTCTAACAAGATAAAGGAGATATTTAAACTATCCAACTTCTGAATAAAAGGTTAGTTCATGACCTTCACAGAACTGAAAAACAATATTAAGTGAGTATGAAAGAATAGGACTCCTCCCCATCCAAACACACCTTAAATAACCTTATTACCATTAAAAGTTCCAACTCTCTATTTCCCACAAATGAATCAGGCCACCTCCTGATTCTTATGAGAAAAGAAAAATACCTGCAGTGAAGCATGATAAATTACAAATCTCTCCATGTTAAGAAAGTCTCAGGATGACAAATGTAAAATGTGAACTCAACTGAATCCATCCTTCAATGCTGGTTTAATAATCATACTAAATAAAGGAACTTCAGTGTTTTAAAATTAAATGTTTGTTTTTTAATATTCAGCACTAAATGTTTTTCTACTACTTGTCTATCCAATGTTAAAAGTGGGAGATTTTTTTTCAGCCTGTTACAGTTGGCCCTTGTAGTCTGAGGCTCAAAAACATAATTAAGCATAGAGGGGCAAAGGAAGCAATGTCCAGATGCAGATCATATTGGTCTTGGGGTTTAGGACTGAGGCAAAGTAAGGTGAAGGTTTGGGTTCAGATTTGATAATATTGAAATCTCATTTGTTGTTCCTGTGAGATTTTAGCCCCAAGTGGTAAGAATCTCACGAGTTCATGAGACTCAATCATCTTGAACTACATGCAAACCAGAACTAAAGAATGAGACCAGACCTGATATGGATCCAATCATGAAATAAAACTGTAGGGGTAGGTTCAGATATGGGTGGGTTCAAATCAGTGGTTCCAATTCAGAGATTTCTTGGGGGGAGCAAATTATGGTCCCTCCATCCCCTGGCAGGGACTGTATTTCAGTCCCCGCTTGTTCCCCTTCCTTCCCTAGGGTCCCCAAGTCTCCTCAGCCAGGGAGTTTCCCCTCTCTCTTACCCACAAGGTACATGAGCTGGTGTTGCCAGGAGTCAAGTTCTCAGCAGACTCCCCTGCACTCTGCTGCACAGGAACAGAGTCCCCATGCATCAGGCCACAATGCCATTTGACTCTGTTGCCCCTCTGTCTGTATGGAGGAACAGCCTGGTCAAATGTTAGTAGTGTGACTGGAATGTATCAGGTTAAAAAAAGAACTAGATAAATTCATGGAGGATAGGTCTATCAATGGCTATTAGCCAGGATGGGTAGGGATGGTGCCCCTAGCCTCTGTTTGCCAGAGGCTGGGAATGGGAGACAGGGGATGGATCACTTGATGATCACCTGTTCTGTTCATTCCTTCTGGGGCACCTGGCATTGGCTACTGTTGGTAGACAGGATACTGGGCTAGATGGACCTTTGGTCTGACCCAGTCTGGCATTCTTATGTTCTTATTTTCCATGGCCTATGGAACTTTGAAAAATACAAAAACTTTGAGGAGGGACATTCCCCCCCCCGTCCCATTTCCCTACTGGAAACATTAAGTGCAAAATTCCAAGAGTGTGTTTTACCCAGTACTCATTTATTTCATCATGTTCACTGTAATCAAGATGGTTTAATAGCTGCCTCATGGCTCTATTAGGCCTTGCCCATTTTTAAATTCTTATTGGGCTCAGTTTATTCTCATTCAAATTTTAGGGAATAAATAATTGAGTCTCTGGTTGGAAACCCCATAATTTATTTGAAGGGCATTTGGCATGCATATATTTTTCATGTCATTGGTTTTTGTGTGTCTGTCTTATTTCCAGCCTACACACACGCATGCACTTGAGGTAATAGCTTTTATAACATCTACCAATGCTGTCTACAGCAATGGGGGACGTGCCAGGAAGAAAATACCTTTCTATTATGTGACCTATTTCCTCCTCTGCAATAATCTCTCTTTAATTGCACACTGCGTTTAGCCTCAATGCAGCCTCAATGAGTCACAAGAGTAAACCTTGGCTTGAGCTTGTGCCTCCAGGGTCCATCCCAATTATCATCTGGCACCCTCTAGTCTTGCCAACTTTACAGACACTTTTGTCTCAAAGCATGTCAGGCCCACCGTGAATCATTTTATTATTTTTTTCTGAGCTGTGTCGGTAACATCATTTACTTTTCCATGTAAAACCATTTTACTCTCATACCATTGAACATAACACAAGCCTTATTATGACAGTAAGAATAGAGATGGCTATAGTTGAAGTTGCAAAGTGATTTCCCTTCTAACTCCTTTTCTTTAGTCCCTCAGGATTTTTTGAAACTTTCACCTTTCAGGCTGAAATGTTCCAGGCATTGTCTTTGCCCACAGGACTATTTTAAAAGTTTGAATAAAATTGATTTATAGTGGAAATCCCAGCTCCCTTTGTTCCCCAGTATGCCACACAAACATAGGATGTTGTCCTGAAGATATCGAGTGGCAAAGTAGAGAGGTAGAATGATGACATTTTGCATGGGAAAAAATCTCAAGGTGGAATAATTTCAGGTGTTCTGATGAAAACTGGCCTTGGTCTGGCTGTGTCATAGTTCTTTGAAAACCTCCTTTTGCGCATGCACGTGACATTTTGCCTCACCATGTGTTTTTGCAAAGCTCAGTAAGAACCTAGCTGAGGAATACAAGGCTGCTCCTACACATGTGTCTGCCGAAGACCCTGATTCAGCAAAGAACTTAAGCATGTGCATGAACTGAGAATGTACTTATGTCCCATTGACTTCAATGGAATTTATGCCCATGTTTAGATACTTTGCTGAATAGAGATGCTTTAAGAACATGCTTAGGTGCTTTGCCTTTACCCTGCTGTAAAAAATATAGTGACCGGTGAATAAAGGTGATCTTACTCAATCCCTACATGCATTGCAAGGCACCCTATTTATTGCATCATTTCATATGGAGTACATAATATTTCCCATGTGAAGTAATGGATCCTAAGCTGTTGTTTGCTTTCCCCTCAACATCATCCTTCCCTTGACAGTAGCCAGCAAACCACAGCCCTAAACAAACCTATTGTTTTCTTACTCAAGATGCTATAAGTACTTTATGAGAAGTTTGATGAACACTGTGTAAGTCTCCCTGTGCCAAATGGGTTCCCCTCCTAGGGAGACTCCTGGCAGTTGCTGACCTGATGCAGCTCCCATTGACATCAACAGAAAGTATCCCATTGACTTTAATGGCAAGCAGAGCAAGGTCTAAATCACCATCCTGAGAGGAGAATAAAGGGAGAGTGGTATTATATTGTATCACCTCAGCTATATTGTATGATTTTGAAGTTAATGAATTGCGGAGACATATGCATTCCTTCCCTCCTCCCCACTAAAATTACAGACTATAGCTAGCTGAAAGTAACCACACTACATACTAAAGTAAAAAGTTCCTTTTGCTCAGTTGTTAGTTTATCTCTTGTTCTCCTTGGAGGAGAATGGAAGAGCTGGATTGAGCTAGATGAGTTCTTATCAATATCAATTTCCCATTC